TTCATTACATTCAAAATTAGATATTAGAAAAATAATTTTGTCAGATTTCTGCAACTTCATTTTTGGACTTAGATAAGAAATGCAACTCATATCCACATCCTAGTTTTAATGAGTTTAAGAATTAGAATTACAACATTTAAAAAAAATCTTTTTCAAGCACCTGTCAAGGAAACAACCTCATACAATATAAATGAACAAGTATGCATTGTGTTCCCACAAACTTCATAAAATAGAGGTTGGCAAGTTAAATTTGGCACAGGCTATAGTTTCCTGACACCTGATCTAAACAAAATAAATATTCTTCAGCAAGGAAAGCATAGCCAGTTCTGGTAGCCCAGTAGCTTTCACCTAATGGTGAAATGCTGGTGGCATGAGGGGTAGATTTAGATGCATTAGAAAGAATATACAGCTCCTAGAGCAAAATGTTCCTCCTACTTCTTGACAGAAGCTTAAGATTCTGAAGCTTTTCATACCACTGTTTCCTAAAGATACACACACACACACACACACACACACACACAGCATATTTCCATCAAGTTTTGATAGAGGAAATTATGGTAACAAGGATAAAAAAACTCAGTAAGAAGTTGGATATCAGAATCATCCAAACAACATGAAAAGTTTTGCTTAAATCTAACTCAGAAGCATCAAAAAGCGGTATCTGCAAATATATATTTAGGTTACTCCTGAATCTGAAACATTAATTTGATCTTATTTCTCAATCATTGATGCCTCATGGTCATGTATATCAATCACTGATATAATTTTGCAAATCAAGCATGAAAGTATTCTATAAAAGGTAAAGCATTATCTAAAACTATCACCACATCGCAAGCAGAGAACGTGAAATGTTAAAGTCTTACCATTCTAGATGGTTTTCTTCTGTTGATGCACTGGCAGTCAATACTATATAATGTCTGAAGGATTTTAAGCAACAATCAAGAAAAAAAAGACAGAAACATCAGTTAGTGCCTGCTTTTCCATCATTTACTTTGTTTTTCTCCTTTCCAATGAACAAAAGGCAATAATAGCACACAGTTTATAAAAATTAAAGCATACTTTGGTCT